ACTTTATTTTACGTAGCTTATGCCTGTATAATATTATGTAATTGCAATGTAATTAGGAAGCTACCGCATGCATTTACAGTATGCTATGAACGAGGGAGTTAGGTCTAATTCAGACTAAAGTACATATGGATAAGGTATGTAGATACACATGTAGTACACTTAAAAACAATCTTGATGCACTTTATTTTACGTAGCTTATACCTGTGTTATATAATGTAAATTGAATGTAATTGAGAAGCTACTGCATGTATTTAAGCTGTGAACTAGTGGGTTAATTCAGATGGATAAGGTATGTTGATACTCATGAAGTGCACTTAAAGGAGAACTCCGGCGAACAATGAACCTTTGGTCTAATAAAACATCGGTACCTAGTCAATCGTTCTCTGAGATTTGTTTTCATGATAATTGAATGTAAAGAGTTTTTATCTCTAAAAACTGTTTAGCGTATAATGCTAGTACTGGGGGCATTGACTGAGTAAAAAGAAATCGCTAGTTTATATAGTTTATAGTTTATATATAGTAGATATATATAGTTTTCATCTTGAATGAATAAATTATCAGCAAAAGTTTTTTTAAACGTTAACTACTCTTAAAGATGACAACAGTGCACGCTTATAATTCACAGATCTTTATAATGCCTTGGTGTGGATGCTAGTTATTATTATAGTTATCTTTTTAGTTATTGTACTTGGTGTGAACGGGCCATAAGTCATGTAGGCATACATTTTGAGTAGTCTGGCTGAGGAAACAACAATAGACAGGATAAAATGTTGACGAACAGGAAATCAATGATACTTCCTGTCTGAGAGCTTGTGCGTAATTGCAAATGCTTCTCGGTTCTTTTCTAATCAACTTGGAGGCAGACCTCACAAATAAAAACGCAACAACACCATTGCTCTATAGTAAAAGGTCCCACCAAAGAAATAGAGACCATGATAAAAGAAACTGAATATCTTCTCAAAAAATTTCACAGGAAAGGAGTTCTCAGTTATGTTGCATTAAGTATCCTTTTCTTATAAAAGAAAAAGATACTTTTCGCTTTTTTTGTAAATCATTTTTTTTTTGTATATAGCTTGATTATATCTGAATTTTACCTGTATATTTTGACATTTACAACTTGTGTTTACATTTTAAACCTTTTAAAATGCTTCATTGAGCATGTTTGTGTTTTTTGTAGTAGAAAAGCTATATTTCTATTCGGATTTTGTGTTTTTTGTGTGATTTTGGGTCCAGTATGTTGATACAGTACATCAAAGTGATAAACTAATTGTCTGGACATATAGGTGATGTTGTGCTGAAAAAAATGATACCAAAAATGGGTATGGTAAATGTTTGTTTATGTCGCAAAATTAAAAAGTACTCAAAAAGGGCCAAAATAGCCCAAGACTCCGAAGGGTTAAAGTCTGCAAATGTGCGATCTTGTAAACATAATCTGTGATAATTGCACTGCAATTACAACTGAACATGAATTATGCATGTTTTCATAATTTTGAAAGCCAATTGTGATACATTATGCACCTGCCATTGCAATTAAGTCACCATTAACTGCTTGTCTGTAACAAACATTTTAATCACATCATTGCCATGGCAATTTTCTAAATTGTAAACCTGATCTTACTGAGTCAGCCTCTGAAGCTTCACTTAAATAAAGCTAAACTTAAGTAAAGACAAATCAACACAAACTAATTTGAAACAAAAAAGGAAAAAAGACTAAAGATACTCTTTCCATTATAATTATTATTTATTTATTCATTTATTACATATATTACACTATGAGAGAAAGTGAGGTACCAAATATCATATGAGAAGTGCAAAAAAGGAGTATAGAATATGAATGTGGAGTGGAATGGCTTTTACCAGATTGATGAGGAAAGAGGCCACTCGACACCATAGTTAATCTCCGATTCCCAGCATGCATGATTTGTTTGAATTGATGACTCATTTCTTTAAATAAAACCTTTACATAATGCAATCGAGGGAACAATTTTAATAGTGACCCCAAATTAGCTGAGAGGCTGAGATTTCACTCCCCAAATTATAGCAATCCTTTCCGAGCATGAGTTTAAGATGACATGAGCTCATCACTAAACTAGATCTCAAAGTAGCTTCATCAGCACTTTATTTAGAAGTTGAGGGATTCATGCATGTACACATGCCTTCAGATGTATGCTCACCTAAAGGATTATTAGGAACACTTGTTCAATTTCTCATTAATGCAATGATCTAATCAACCAATCACATGGCAGTTGCCTTAATGCATTTAGGGGTGTGGTCCTGGTCAAGACAATCTCCTGAACTCCAAACTGAATGTCAGAATGGGAAAGGAAAGTGATTTAAGCAATTTTGAGCGTGCCATGGTTGTTGCCAGACGGGCCGGTCTGAGTATTTCAAAATCTGCTCAGTTACTGGGATTTTCACACACAACCATTTCTAGGGTTTACAAAGAATGTGGGAGTCCTGTGGGAGAAAATGCCTTGTTGATGCTAGAGGTCAGAGGAGAATGGGCCGACCGATTCAAGCTGATAGAAGAGCAACTTTGACTGAAATAACCACTCGTTACAACCGAGGTATGCAGCAAAGCATTTGTGAAGCCACAACACACACAACCTTGAGGCGGATGGGCTAGAACAGCAGAAGACCCCACCGGGTACGACTCATCTCCACTACAAATAGGAAAAAGAGGGTACATTTTGCAAGAGCTCACTAAAATTGGACAGTTGGAGACTGGAAAAATGTTGCCTGGTCTGATGAGTCTCGATTTCTGTTGAGACAGAATTTGGCGTAAACAGAGTGAGAACATGGATCCATCATGCCTTGTTACCACTGTGCAGACTGGTGGTGGTGGTGTAATGGTGTAGGGGATGTTTTCTTGGCACACTTTAGGCCCTTTAGTGCCAATTGGGCACCGTTTAAATGCCACGGCCTACCTGAGCATTGTTTCTGACCATGTCCATCCCTTTATGGCCACCATGTACCCATCCTCTGATGGCTACTACCAGCAGGATAATGCACCATGTCACAAAGCTCGAATCATTTCAAATTGGTTTCTTGAACATGGCAATGAGTTGACTGTACTAAAATGGCCCCCACAGTCACCAGATCTCAACCCAATAGAGCATCTTTGGGATGTGGTGGAACGGGAGCTTCGTGCCCTGGATGTGCATCCCACAAATCTCCATCAACTGCAAGATGCTATCCTATCTATACGGGCCAACATTTCTAAAGAATGCTTTCAGCACCTTGTTGAATCAATGCCACATAGAATCAAGGCAGTTCTGAAGGTGAAAGGGGGTCAAGCAGTATTAGGATGGTGTTCCTAATAATGCTTTAAGTGAGTGTATAATGAAATATATGAAGAGTAGAGATAAACGCAGGCCCATTTAACCAGACTAAGGAGGTTTTAAAGATTGCAGGCATGAAAAAATGTGTAATAGGATATCATCACAACAAAACCCCTAACAATTAAATATTACATCATACAGTAGATATGAAATATTGACGGATGATTGACAGATATGACACATTTACATAGATATGATTTTTCAAAATGTTATTTTATGAATATTAATAGCAATTACCCAGTGTTTTCGGGCTGCTATATTGTAACTGACCTACCTTTTACTCTGAAGACCTTGATTAGAAATATCCTGGAATGTTTTCATCAAAAACCTTAATTTCTTTTCGACTGAAGAAAGAATGACATGGACATCTTGGATGACATGGGGGTGAGTAAATTATCAGCAAAAGATTTTTAAAAGTGAACTACTCCTTTAACTACACATCACAACCGTAAATGTCTGATATTTGAAGTCAAGTCAAGTTACTCTGCAGTGAAAAATGTGTTTAAAGGTTCCAGGTCAGATCGCTCGCTCGAGTAGAAACTGCTCGATTCATATTGATTACATTAACAATGTCTTTGTGAACTTTATTGAAGCGCCTACGTTGTATTTGCATGGCATTTCAATGTAGGGACAGATTTCTCTCAGGTGTGATAAAAATATTTCATTTGTGTTTTGAAGATAAACAAAAGTCTTATCGGTTTGGAATGACTTGAGGTTTAGTAAATGATGATGATGATTTCATTTTTGGGTGAACAATCCCTTTAAAAGAAGTTACTGAAGTTTTAATGTTGTACCACCAGTGTTGTAGTACTCGAGACTCGGACTCGTCTCGGACTCGGTCTCGAGACCATATTTTAATGGTCTAGGTCTTGTCATGGACTCGTGTCCATTTGGACTCGGAATTGACTCGTACTCGAACATTTTTTTTTTTTAGGACTCGGACTTATTCCCGAGTCCACTCGAGTTCAATTAAAAATATTTTTCATGATTATTAATGTATGTTAATAAAATATTTCTTTAAATTGATTGACACGCCCAGTGATTGGCGATTTTCTTGTGCGCAACTGTGCATGACAAATTGTAATAAAATTACTTTTAACACCACCTACTATGTGGCCTTTTTACCCTAAACTGATCATATTTTTTAAACTAAGTAAATTCAGTAAAAAAAAAAAGGATTTCTCTAAGTAACTAAAAGTAAATTAGGTAATCAACCCTCACTGGTCTCGGTCTCGACTCGGACTCGACCGTCACTGGTCTCGGTCTCGACTCGGACTCGACCGTCTCTGGTCTCGGACTCGACTCGGACTCGACCGCCTCTGGTCTCGGACTCGACTCGGACTCGACCGTCTCTGGTCTCGGACTCGACCGTCTCTGGTCTCGGACTCGACCGTCTCTGGTCTCGGACTCGACTCGGACTCGACCGCCTCTGGTCTCGGACTCGACTCGGACTCGACCGTCTCTGGTCTCGGACTCGACCGTCTCTGGTCTCGGACTCGACTCTCTCTGGTCTCGGTGTCGACTCGGACTCGAGTGAGGTGGTCTCGACTACAACACTGTGTACCACTCATTTGTCTTGCATTACTTCCTCACACAGAAACATTATTCCCAGAAACATAAAGCAAACACCAGAAGATGAATAGAGGCTGGGTTACTCACCATGTTTACATGCAGTGGTCCAGATCCTGGTCTAAACAGCCTCCGTCTGTTGGATCCTGTGCTGCTGTTCCTCACACGGAGAATGCCTGATTTAGCCATCGATTTAACTACAGAACAGATTGCTGGAATAAGTGCAAGTGCTCCATATAAAATTATACAAAAATTTGTGCTACAACGAGAAACTCTAACCAGAACTACGAACTACATGAGAAACTTGAGAAAATGAAACTGCTATGATGTCGTTACACTGACCTAAGAGAAGGGTGGTTGTCATATGCAATTTTATGATTGTTTGGAGAATGTTCAGGCTGGTGGTCATGTTATTTTTATGTTTGCACTCCATGTTTTATATATATATATATATGCTGTAGTATGTCAGTAGGAAATATCAGTTTACTTTTTCAAAACATTCCTTTTCCAATTAATTTTTATAATCCAGTGAGAATTGTGTATGCAGAAGGAGTCTGACAACAGCCGTTATGATCCACACTGAGATCTGATCTTACCATCATCGAGTCCGACTGTGATTACATGAAACAGAAAAAAAACTGACAGACTAAATTCAGAAAAACTGAGGGAACATTTCCAAGACGCTTGAAGAAACCTACCTGCAAATCAACCTGAAAAACTATGTGCAAGGGCACCTGGACAAAAGCTGTTCTCATTGAAAAGGGTGCGAAATGGGTGCACACCAAATATTGATCTGATTTAGTTAATAAAGGTAAAAGGGATAGTTCACTTTGAAATTAATTTTGGTATGTCTTAGCTTACCTCAAGTGCATTCAAGATGTAGGTGTCTTTGTTTCCGCAGTAGTTTCAATTTTGATGTTTTTAGGTCAAACCGTTCTTGTCTGTCAGTCATATAATGCAGGTCTATGGTCACCACCTCAAACAGCATGCACAGAGAAGTCCAGATTAAACATGATTTAATGACTCGTAAATGTAAGTACACATTGATCGAACGGTTTGTGTGAGAAAACGAACAGTATTTATATCGTTTTTATCTCTTGAAACTACAGCCACAAAGCACCCACGCCCTCAAATCACTTGGACGTGGCTGTGGTTACAAGAGGTAAAAACGATATAAATACTGTTCGTTTTCTCACACAAACCGCTTTTTTCATGTCTTAGGCCATCAATGTGTACTTACATTTATGAGTCATTAAATCATGTTTAATCTGGACTTCTCTGTGCATGCTGTTTGAGGTGGTGACCATAGACCTGCATTATATGACTGACAGACAAGAACGGTTAGACGTAAAAATATCAAAATTGAAAATACTGTGGAAACAAAGTCACCTACATCTTGGATGCCCCTGAGGTAAGCTAAAACATATCAAAAATGAATTTCAAAGTGAACTATACCTTTAATTGATAAATAAAATCTATTTATGACATCATTTTTGAAAGCATGTTCACTTTACAACATTTTACACAAGAGCCTAAAACTTTTCATAGAGCTGTAGCTTTGCAGGCAAGTTTCTTCAATAATCTTGGAGAAGTTACCGCAGTTCTTCTGGATTTAGTCTCAGTTTTTTCTGACTCGATGATGCTGAGTTCAGATAATACTGGGTAAAAATGTACTGGGTTATAACAATTAATTGATAAAGGAATGTTCGGAAATGTAAACTAACCTTTCGCTAACACTTTACTTGAAGGGGTGTGCATAAGACTGACATGACACCTCATGACATGGCACATCATGAATATAAATGAGGTTTTATTTATGTTTATGACAACTGTCATTAAGTGTCATTTGCTCAATTGTGACATTTAATGACAGTTGTCATAAACATGCAAGTGTCATTTGACCTCAACTACCACTGTAGTTGAGGTTACAAAATATATTCATGACACAGTTATAATGGCCTCATGACAGCCGATGTCAAAGCCAACCACATGACAGTTTAATGTAATGTTAACCCATAAAGCTAAGTGGTTTCTTAAGTTTGATAATTAATCTGTTTTGTCATGTTTATGACATATTTATGACAGGTTGTATTTGTTTGTGTCACATTGTTATTACCAAACAGGTTATGATGTATATTGGTTTGTGTCAAGTTGTCATAACAAAGACATCTCAAATAATGTCATATTTGCATTAAAAATTTCACAATTGAGCGAATGACACTTAATGACAGTTCTCATGAACATGCATAAAACCTCTTTCATATTCATGACGTGTGTCATGTTATTATTATGAAGGTGTCATGTCAGTCTTATGCACACCCCAGTGTTTACTACTGACACACCACAGCAAAATACATTTTAAAAAATGGCTGAAAAGAACCATTTTGAAATGAATTCACTATATTTCTGCTTATGTCTGTATATGGGTTTGACATGCACTGTACCTGGAGGAGTGAGCACATTTGTCAGGGCAATGGGCTCTAGTGCCGAGAGAGTGGTTGGCAGCGGCAGTGAGCAACACCGCTGAAGCAGAGCTTTAAGTGGAGGATCTGCAGGCGACTGGCCAGGAGGGCGCGAGAGGGTCTGAAAATTAAGTCAGATAACCCTTAAAACAGCAACATATTACATTTCACTGCATCCAAAGTATGTAATTTACCAACTGGCAAATACAATGTTTCATGTCAAGTAGTGAGTGGTGTTAATCAGGGGAAGAACCGTATCTGAAAACATCTAACTCAGAATAGTCAACAGTAAATCGATATTTGAAATACTTTTAGCTATTGTACACACAGGCATAACAATAGCTAAATGTTGCTATTCAACTCAAATCTGTTGAGTGTTTCTGTCTTTTTGAGTTTAGACTGAACGGGAAAACGTGAAATCCAGTTTGAAATCTGATTTCTAGAAGTTTTTTTTTTCCCTAGTGCATCTATAGTCTTTTAGATGTTTTTTTCCGTCATTCCCCTAGTGAAAAGAAAATACCAACAATAATTTAAAATACATTATTTCATAAGTATACTACAAATCCATTAACTTATTTCGTGACACACAGTATTGCTTGAGTCTTACTGATATAAAAATCATAATAGCACTTCTTTATCGCACAATGCACATTTCTTAAAGGATTAGTTCACTTTTGAAAAAACTTTTGCTGATAATTTACTCACCCCCATGTCATCCAAGATGTCCATGTCTTTCTTTCCTCAGTCGAAAAGAAATTTAGGTTTTTGATGAAAACATTCCAGGATTTTTCTCCATATAATGGACTTCAATGGGAACCGGATGGTTCAAGGTCCAAAAGACAGTTAATAACTGTTTCAGATGCAGCTTCAAATGTCTTTAAACGATATCAGACGATGAATAAGGGTCTTATCATGCGAAACGATCGGTTATTTCAAAACTTATTCCAAAAATGTAACTTTTCTAAGGACAAATGCTAGCCTTGCTCTATTCTGTGAGGCGCGTTTGCAACGTCACATAATACGTAATTACGTTCAAAAGGTCACGGGCGACGTAGCCGAAAGTACAGAGTCAGTGTTTACAAGTTGAACGCATAGGTTAAACGTGCAAACTAACTCAAACGCCGATTACAAAAAAAGGAATTAAAAGGAAAAACAACGATGTCGGACGATTTTGATTCTGTACTTCCGGCTACGTCGCCCGTGACCTTTTGAACGTAATTACGTATTACATGACGTTACAAACGCGCCTCAGAGAATATAGCAAGGCTAGCATTTGTCCTTAGAAAAGTTACATTTTTGGACTAAGTTTTGAAATAACCGATCGTTTCGCATGATAAGACCCTTATTCATCGTCTGATATCGTTTAAAGACATTTGAAGCTGCATCTGAAACTGTTATTAACTGTCTTTTGGACCTTGAACCATCTGGTTCCCATTGAAGTCCATTATATGGAGAAAAATCCTGGAATGTTTTCATCAAAAACCAAAATTTCTTTTCAACTGAGGAAAGAAAGACATGGACATCTTGGATGACATGGGGGTGAGTAAATTATAAGCAAAAGTTTTTTCAAAAGTGAACTAATCCTTTAATATCAAGCCTAAAATGTGTAAGAAAGGCTAGTATCATATAATACGAGTCTTTAAATGCAAGATGTTTAAAGTGTATCTTAAGTATACAGTACTTGCAGTAGTCAAATTTTAGCACAATCAAATATTCTTAAGTCTATCTTTAGTTGGATCTCAGCATTATTTCTGGATAACTAAAGTACATTAAGTACAAAATTAGTTTAAGTATAGAGCAAACTTTAAGTATACCAATTTAGTACACCAAAAGTACGATTGCAGGGTCCCAGACAGCAAACTGACATTGAATCAACGTGGAAACGACGTCTCTCATGACATTGAAACAACGTTGATTCATCGAATTAACGTTGAACCAACGTCAGACGCGGGATTCTTCAAAGCTAAATGAAAATCGAAAAAAATTGGTTTGCTTTCATAACGTTGAAACAATGCGTTGATTTCAAGTTGATTTTCCGTTAGTTTTGAAAGAATGACGCGTCTGACGTTGGTTCAACGTTAATTCGATGAGCAAAACAATTTCGGATCAACGTTGTTTCAATGTCATATTTCCACGTTGATTCAATGTCAGTTTGCTGTCTGGGGTATTTACACAAGTATGTAAATGTGTTTGTAGTTTACTCAATATAATGTATTTCAAATACATTTTATAACGTCATGCGAATAGCGGTTAATATGTCAGTTGTTCAATAAAAACAATGCATATCTACATGAGCAAGGTTAGTGTGTAAAAAACCACAGTCATATTTTACACTTAGCAAACACGTTAAAGTTAGCAAACCAACTGTCTTCTCCGAAGATTCAGAGGGTGACATGTTCCCATCACTGACCATTCTATATCTCTGCTTAACTGTGGCAGCATCAATGCCACATTTTCACGACCATTATACTGTAAATGGATGCTGTCTTATTGTGACTTTACTTGCTCTAGCTGCAAGTATACTTAGCATATTTCTTGTTCACCAGGGTACTCCTACTCCTAACCACACTGAACCTGTCATGGTTCTGTCACCTTTGATACTAGTTCTGTGTGATGATGGAGCCATGACATTGCCTGTCTGTCTTGTGTTTATAGGCTTGTTCGACTTCATGCAGCTCTGCGCAGACCGATCGGCGGCTGACTTGAAACAGTGCATGCCGGTTAGAAATTTTGTCCGACTTGATGCAGCGCTGACTCCACGTGACTGTGATGTATGCCATCAAAGTACCGCGAGAGCGATACGAGAGTAGCCGCAGGACTAAGCCAGCGCAGCTTCTCAAGAGCGGCTGCACGAGCTCTGATGATGTCACAGCTGTTCCACGATTCGCCGGATTCACCTCATGACAGCGATCACGTGCGTTTTGTGTTTATTCTCGCACATTTAGTTCCACTAAAGCTCACAAATCAGTTTTCTATAACAGTAAACAGTCTTTTCATGTAGTAGCGATGTTATTGTGCCATGTTTATCATGTTTATGAAAATAAAACTGATTAAAAAACGTTGACTCCACGTCATTGATTATAGGCTTATTTTGAACTTTATTCTAGTTCAAACAGATGCTGTATGAAGCAGTAAAGTATTGAACGAAAATGTGTCTGAAATATCTGTTTATTTGGCAAATGTTGCATTTATTTCACTTAAGCTGTGGTAAAGCATGCAAACACCACGTGAGCCGTCGGTACGGGAACCAGAAATTGTCCGACTTCACGTCTCCGTTTGCAGCAATCGGTTGCATCCAGCCGCAGGCGATGTCGAACACACCTTATGTTAGTCTAGTTTCATGTGAGCACATGGCTGCTGATTGTTCCTGTGTCATGTGCTTTGTCTAATTGTTAGCCTCTCCCTTCTCGTTATCAGTTTAGTATTAAAGGGTTAGTTCACCCAAAAATGAAAATTAAGTCATTAATTACTCACCCCCATGGTGTACCAACCCCGTAAGACCTTCGTTCATCTTCGGAACACAAATAAAGATATTTTTGATTGAATCTGAGAGCTGGATCAGTCCTACATAGAATGCCTAAGGGACTGGCTCTTGACGGCCCATAAAGTCATTAAAGAAAAGGTTTAAATACTCCATGTGCCTACAGCGGCTCAATTATAAGTTTATCAAGCGACGAGAATACTTTTTGTGCGAAAAAACATAAATAACGACTTTATTCCACTATTCCATTACTTCCTTATGGGCGCATGCGCGAGAACTGAGACGAGGACGTTCTCATTCGTCTACTTCTTGTTACCGGCTGCTCACCGCTTAGGAGTTTTACCAAAACTTTCTGTTTACAAGCAGAGGAAGATGCGCGTTGTACATACGCTTTTCAAATTACCTATTTTCCGCACTATATGGTGCACTCAAAAGCATTTAATCTTCTCAAAAAACGACAGTGTTCCTTATAATCCGGAGCGCCTTATATATGGATCATCATTTTATACGGTAGGGGGCGGTAAAACTCCTAAGCGGTGAGCAGCCGGTAACAAGAAGTAGACGAATGAGAACGTCCTCGTCTCAGTTCTCGCGCATGCGCCCATGAGGAAGTAATGGAATAGTGGAATAAAGTCGTTATTTATGTTTTTTTCGCACAAAAAGTAGTCTCGTCGCTTGATAAACTTATAATTGAGCCGCTGTAGGCACATGGAATATTTAAACCTTTTCTTTAATGACTTTATGGGCCGTCAAGAGCCAGTCCCTTAGGCAGTCTACATAGGACTGATCCAGCTCTCAGATTCAATCAAAAATATCTTTATTTGTGTTCCGAAGATGAACGAAGGTCTTACGGGGTTGGAACAGCATGGGGGTGAGTAATTAATGACTTAATTTTCATTTTTGGGTGAACTAACCCTTTAACATTCCTCACCTGTTGTCTCATTACCCTCCTGTGTGTGTTTCCTTTATAGCCTCCTTTGTGTTTCAGTCCATCTAAGTTCATGTTTCTGGTTCCTAGTGGTTTTTTCCTTGTTAGTATTTGTTCTGGTTTTCCCCCACGTGGGAGATTTGTTTGTACTTTGTATTTTGTTTGTTTGGTTAATTAAAATTATACCTTTGTTTTCCTGCAATTGAGTCCTCGCTTATGTTTCCTGATTATCCCGTGACAGAACCTGCTGATCATCAGTAAAGGTGTCTTAGAAGGTGCAGCCCATATTAAATTCACATTGGGCATTTTATTTCCCGTTTTCAAACGTTTTCTTCATTTAAAGTCTTAAAATTCTTGAGTCTTAATGAGCGCAAGACTGAAATGATAGTTGGTTAATGGTTAAGTCGGTTAAGCCCTTCTCGTCTACAGAGAACTTTGAGATTGCTATGCATGCTTTTGTAACTTCCCCATTAGACTGTTGTAACTCTTTATGTATTGGTGCTCCTCAGATATGCATCACTTTTGCAATTATTTCCAAATCCTTCTGCACGGCTTCTCAAATAGGGAAAAGTGTAAGTGAACACATTACACCGGTTTTGATCATGCTTCATTGGCTACCGGTTAAATATAGAATTGTTTTTAAATTTTGTTTATTTATTTTTAAGTCTTTGCAGACAATGGCTCCACAGAAACCTATCTGAACTACATCCGCCCACACAGTCAAGATCACTCAGATCGGGGGACTCTAATTTACTATCTGTCCCTAGAACTAGACTTAAAAATAGGGGTGATCTTGCATTTGCAGTCATCGTCCCTAAGCTATGGAATAGAATAGCCTACTGGTTTACATCAAATCCGGCCAAACTGTTTTCTTGGCCTTGAAAAGCACTTTGGTCAACACCGGTTGTTTTTAAACGTGCTATTCAAATAAAATTGTATTGTATTGTATTTAAAGCAAACGTCTCTCTGGGCTGATGCAAGAACTGTGAGTTTGGAGAAAGTATGATTTGAACTCGGGATGGTCGGGTCAAAAGCTAAACCAACGGTCATTACTCTACACTCTCCACTGTAATTGTGTCTTTTTCAACCAGACAGTGAAGGGTGGGGTTCAAGTAAACCGACCATTAATTATGAATATAATATTTAATAATTAGAATTTAAAATTGTAATTATATAATGAATAGAGAGTCACAGTTTTACTTTTCAATACGGGCAGTGTTTCCCAAGCCTGTTCCTGGGGGCGCACCAACCTCCCTTATCTGACCCATGTATTCCTGGGCTGCGTTCCACTTATTTATGCCCTTCCCTCGCTAACTTCCCCCGTCTTGTTGACTCGGATGTACATCATTGCTTACTTTGCGTCAGTTCTCACTACTGGCAGAAGCCATGCAATTGAACTGAAAAGTTCTTAGGCTTTATCACTTTGAACCCACTTTGGAATTGATTTATTATTTAAATTTTTTCCTTTATGAATTTGTTTGATTGACCATTCCATATGCCTATAGGTATGTTTAAGCGGTAACACTTTATTTTGATAGTCCACTTTAGACATTCTACTTACTATAAGTAATTTTTCAACTACATGTCAACTAACTGTCATTAGAGTATTAGTAGACTGTCAGCTTAATATCTGCTAACACTTTATTTTGTTGGTCCCTCAACAGACATTCAACTAACTATAAGTAACTTGGCGACTAAAAGTAAACTTATTCTCCTAATCCAAAGCCTAACACCTAACCATAACCTAACAGTCTACTGACAGTCTACTATACTAATACTCTAGTGAGAGTTAGTTGACATGTAGTTGAAAGTTACTTATAATTAGTAGAACGTCTAAAGTGACCATCGAAATAAAGTGTAACCGTTTAAGCTTTTTTGGAGAAAATATATAAATGACACAAATTAACATTAATCCTTTTGCTTTCCTGATTTTTTTTTAGCCCATCCCATGGTAACCCCAGTTTGGATCCAGCCGCACTTCAGATAATGCCATTTTTTGATGGACAAACTGCCAAACATTACCCTTAAACTGTAATCACTACAATCACAAGCTGTAATCATTGCCTTAATAGTCACATTAAGCTTTTGTTGACAAATCAGCAGAATTAAGGCATTTCAGGTTCAACCATATCTAATATTCCTGCTATCAAAACCACCATCATTTTCTCTTTTCAAACAATCTATTAATATGTACAAGGCCTCATGAGAAAATACATCCATTGTTAAAGCTGCATGCATGATGGACATACTCAAGTTTGTTACTGTGACAACCAATGTTCATATGCTAGCAAAAGAAAACAGAAAAAAAATCTGATCCGTCTAATTATTATTTTAACAGTTAGTCTTGGTTGGTTGGTCAATTTTAAGGAAAAAAAAACTAATCGAATTTTCTCTACTGTGTGACCTGACCATTGACCAAAGGCAATGGAACACAAACTAGACCAAGGCTGGCACTGCTGTAGACTATATACAACGGACTAGACGGAAATCAAAGGTCAGTTACTAATGTAAAGTTACAGGTTACAACATTTTAAATACAGTTTTGATTTTTTTTTTCCATATCACTCTCTCTCTCTCTTGGACTACAGAGAAAGTAGATTCTGCATGAGATTTTTTTCAAACTAAGATTAGTATTACAATTTATCTAAAGCTATGCCACATGTCAAAGGTTTCATTTGTTGGCCACATACGTTATAAAATATGTCTTATTCTAGTGAAGGATATTGTTCATGACTTTGGATTGTAGTGGTCAGTGTACTGAAAATACGTATGCGGCTGACAAATACAACTTCTGGAGTACTCAGCCTTTGAAATGAGACACAGCTCAAAGGCTGTAGTGCCTTGATGAGGTGCCTTGAAACTTGCAGGATTATTCAGTGTGTTGATGTAATTTCCACTGAAACAAGAAGACAGTGCGACACATATTAAACAGCACCTCCCCTTTTTAAAATGGCCAATAGCGTTTTGTTCATGTCACAGCTCGGCAAGAGCCGTGGAGCTCGTCAAACAACTCTAGAGATTCTAGAGAGCCTTTGATTGGACAGGAATTTGACGAGAAGCTGAAGTGCAGAGTGATGTCATCAAAATCATTGATCTATAACGGTGGAAGTGTGATACTGTAAGTTTTGAACGCTTACTTAGATAACCTTAAGGATAACATTAAAATAAAAGCAGAAAAAAAAAATTAGATTTGATAGGGGCTTTAAGTCTTCAGAATTGCTTGGTATGCAGGTATCGTGTGTGACCCGATACCGGCACTAAGCGGAAGTCAATTCTGCAGGATAGAGGGCCGAAAGTTGCTCATTCCCGCTCTAAATGAAACTGTTTAAATACTCAGATCCATGACATATTTGTGAAAGCATTTGAAAATACATCTTTCTTTGATAGCAAAATGATTTAGTTGTTCAAACAAGTTAGTAATGCGTTGATAGCAATGTCATACACACGGTAATAAAATGAATGCCGGCCATGACACTAAGATTGAGCAGCATTAGGATAGTCTTCTTATGAAATGTTTTTCAACATGATTTTGGTTTTTATGATATCTCATCAATATGAATGATTTCTAGAACATTTACACCATTAAAGGAGTAGTTCACTTTTGAAAAAACTTTTGCTGATAATTTACTCACCCCCATGTCATCCAAGATGTCCATGTCTTTCTTTCCTCAGTCGAAAAGAAATTTAGGTTTTTGATGAAAACATTCCAGGATTTTTCTCCATATAATGGACTTCAATGGGAACCGGATGGTTCAGGTCCAAAAGATAGTGTTAATAACAGTTTCAGATGCAGCTTCAAAGGTCTTTAAACGATATCAGACGATGAATAAGGGTCTTATCATGCGAAACGATCGGTTATTTCAAAACTTATTCCAAAAATGTAACTTTTATAAGGACAAATGCTAGCCTTGCTATATTCTGTGAGGCGCGTTTGCAACGTCACGTATTACGTAATTACGTTCAAAAGCTCACGGGCGATGTAGCCGAAAGTACAGAGTCAGTGTTTACAAGTTGAACGCATAGGTTGAACGTGAAAACTAACTCAAACACCGTTTACAAAAGAGGAATTAAAAGGAAAAACAACGATGTCGGACGATTTTGATTCTGTACTTCCGGCTACGTCGGCCGTGACCTTTTGAACGTAATTACGTATTACATGACGTTACAAACGCGCCTCAGAGAATATAGCAAGGCTAGCATTTGTCCTTATAAAAGTTACATTTTTGGAATAAGTTTTGAAATAACCGATCGTTTGGCATGATAAGACCCTTATTCATCGTCTGGTGTCGTTTAAAGACATTTGAAGCTGCATCTGAAACAGTTATTAACCGTCTTTTGATACTTGAACCATCCGGTTCCCATTGAAGTCCATTATATGGAGAAAAATCCTGGAATGTTTTCATCAAAAACCTAAATTTCTTTTCGACTGAGGAAAGAAAGACATGGACATCTTGGATGACATGGGGGTGAGTAAATTATCAGCAAAAGTTTTTTCAAAAGTGAACAAATCCTTTAACACCATTCTTATCTAACTGTCATAGCAACCACCTTTCACCATCCAAACAGCCATCAATGGACAAAATCCTACAGTACACTTTCACATTGAATACCCCTTTCACCTGAAAATATGTATAGAATAAGAATAAGAATGTATAGAATAATCGTGGTTGTGAATTTAATTTCTATCCTTAAAAAAAAAAATCACAGTTTAAGATAGCATACATTACCTTAAAAATGTCCTCCGGGCAGTTTGTTATCTTTTTCCGATCTGTGCAAACATCTTGGTTTTCGTCAACATTTTTGCTAGATAAGTGACGTGAGATCACAGAGTTTTCTTTTGGTGTATCTGGTTCTTCATATCTTGGGTGGCTCTCAATGGTGGCAAGAGAGATATGAGTCGAGCTGAGCTGAGACTGGGATTCATCCGAGTTATTACACAGGGAATTGCTATCTCTCGGAGAGTCTGGGCAAGTTCTCCAGGCTTTCAGCACCACAGGAGGAGAGCAATCCACCTTGTCACTGATGTCAGTAGATGACGTAGATTTACAGTGATCTGAGGTATCGGCTTTGTGCGCACTCCTGATTGGCATATTGGGGATGAGCTCTCCTGACTGTTCTGTTCTCAAATGAAGAGGCGACTGCTGTCCTTCAGGCGGGGAGAATGAGCGCGACGAGTTTCTCCATTTCATTGCTGTCTCAGCCACACTGTTGAAAAATCGGAGAAGGCCTCGAAAATGGCTGCTTTTGCCATCGAGGCCCGTTTGTTCAGGTGCAGAGTTCAAATCTTTGACCTGCAGCTCAAAGCTGACCGAGCCATAGTCCGAATCAATGGTTTTGTCCAGGGTATTCATTGACTCAAAGCTACTCTCTGCCAATGTCTGACTTCCTTTTCCTTTGATGGAAATTCTTCTTAGGTAATTCAAAACATCCCCTCCCTTTGACCATCGTCTTCTTTGAGGTATCTTGAGGCTGTGCTTCACGTAGCAGGATTCCTGTTCCACCACAGACGAATTGTTGCAGTTTGAGACGTTGGGGTGAGATTTTTTTGTATACGTGACTCTTTCTGACAACTTATACCCATTTTGGTTGCTAACGGTGTCCTTGGTCTCCTGCTGGACATTCTCTGGGCTTGCAGCTGGGCCTATGTCCTCAAATGAACAGTAGAAGTCTGCAGTGTGTCCTGCAAATGAATGTCTCTTGGCCTTATTCCTAAACACATGCTTGAACTCTGAAGAAGGAGATTCCTTGCACATGTACACATCCTCCACGTCTTCTTTCAGGTCAATGTCGAATTTGGCATCAGAAATCTTACCGGCTTTCCCTTTAAAAACAGATGGGGACTTTAATTTCTTGAAGGACCTTACTTTGTTTGTGATCGACAGTTTTAGAAAGGACGCTTCGCCTGGGAGGATCACTGAGTGAGGTCGCCTGTCCAGGTCAGAGGTGGCCTTGCGGCGGTTCAGGATCCTCCAGATGGCCGCAGTCCTGGAGCGCCGGTTTGGTTCCTGTTTTTCTCTTCTGAGAGTCTGACAGGGAGTAATGGAGTCTGATGAATTGGACTCTGGAATCCATGAGATCTCAGTTTTGCTGTCTTCGTCAGCTGAGACATTGAAAACACTATTGATAAATCCATTGGTAAGATTAGACTCTGAAACGGGGTTGGTTGTGCTATCCATCCTCTCTCATTTTAAGACAAAATGTCAGGTGTCCAGTTTAGGAAGCATCATTTTTGAGAAAATCTGTGATGAAAACAAAAATCACACAATATGGGTTTCTTATGTAAAACAACAACATTATCTGTATTATTTAACATACATTTAGATATATCCTCAGGATTGTAAATTGCCAATATGCCCATTAAAGACAAACAAGGATACTTTTACACTTGTTCTTAATTCAGGTCCACAATGAACTTGAAATAGCCTATCCACCATGAACCACCTTTTCTTTCTTTCTTTCTTTCTTTCTTTCTTTCTTTCTTTCTTTCTTTCTTTCTTTCTTTCTTTCTTTCTTTCTTTCTTTCCTTCCTTCCTTCCTTCTTTCTTTCTTTCTTTCTTTCTTTCTTTCTTTCTTTCACACAATCTTTATAAATAAACACACACAAACTACTATTTAAATGTTTGTTTGGTATGTAATCATTTTTAAAAGAAATGTACACTTTTATTTAGCAAGAATGATTTAATTAATTACATTTTTTTAAGACTGTTTTCAACTGTCATACAAATATTACAATGATTTCTGTGAGTAATGGCTGCTGAAAATACAGGGGGAAAATATATGTATATATATATATATATATATAAACAAGTGTATATGTTTTATATTGTTTTAAGTATATATATATATATATATATATATATATATATATATATATATATATAAACAAGTAAACTTTAAACTTTTAAACGATAGAGTTTCATAATCCTATAAAATCGGAATGTACTTACAATAGAAAAATCAGACAATGTTATTAACCCACACATCAGGAAATTCCTATTCTGTGATAAGAAAATGGATTTGGAAAAACTTACCAAATTAGACTTCTCCGGTTGTCTCATAGAAGAACAAAAAACATTCTGTGTGAATCCTTTAACATTAAAAAGGATTTTCCAGTATAATCATTTGGACGACTGTTAATCCACAGCATTCTTCAGAAATGGTCAAGGGTTTTTCTCAGCCTGATGCCCCACAGAGACCGAACAGACGCCACATACACACACGCCCAGTTCCTCTCATTAAGTTTGAAGTCATGATCCAGTTATTTTTGCCACTCTTCCCTTGCAACTACAAACACTCTAAATGGAACACACTATTTGACTTGGTCAGTCCTTTTCGTCACTTCATTGGCAGTGATTTGAAAGAACTTTCAAAATAATTCATTGCCACGGTAGTTTTGAATATGTCCACCAGTGCAGTGGTGAGCACTCTAATGTACATAATAAATCAACACAATAAACAAAACGTAGGGTCAAAGTTTGAGGGCCTATTTTAAACACTTCCTTTTTGTCCTGTTTTGGTATACTGTAATCACATGCAATTTTCCTGCTCTACACAGGAAAGAGTGGATCTGAGTGAAAAAATGCTTTAAGTTTGACAAAGACAGGAAGCCTGGCTGACAGCATGTAAATATCTGCTCCGTACACTCTTTCCCTTCTGTCTGTGCTGCACCATTGTGAGGGAAAGACAATTGGGTTTTCTTTCCCCTTGTGACTCAGTACGCTTCAGTTTGTCAACAACATACTGCCGCTGTAGCCATTTCATCAGCTAAAACATATTACTGACACACTGTACACATCAAACAGACATACACATTTAAAGGCTTTTTTTTTTATTGGCGTCAACTTTTCTTAAACTGTGTCTACTTAAAAAGACAAAAGACCATAAAGCATTCTCCAAACGCCTCACATTCAGCACGCTTCCTGTGCATGAGCAGGCAGCTTTCCTGCTATCCATTTCTGTCACAATGCACATCCTGGATAAGTTAACCCTCCTTTATTTTTATTTATTTATTTGCTTTTTAAAACCAAAGGCAAGACTTAATGATTTTGTCAATGAGCTGAATACACACAAACGTTGAATTCCTGTTTATACAGACAGAGGGACGATTAATGGGGGGAAAAAAACTGGACTAGATTCAGAAGTTGTGACTCAAAATTAAAGAACATTTTATCAACTACCTTTGATGTTTGTTCCATATAATCTCCATTTCAAAATGTTGTTCAAAAAGCACCTCGTGTGATGTCATCACTTTTTATCTTGTAGAACAATTGGCCTTTTCCTTAGTTTCCTGTGACATAGTTCCAGATCAACATCATGATAGTGTAGGCGCACACACACACACAATGGTTTGAGCTAAACCTGAACTTAAAATGAACTTGGATTTTTTTTTAACAAACTATATATTCTACACTAACCCTACTTCTAAACCTACCCTTCACAGAAAACTGTTTTATTTAACTGCCACATTTTGCAATGATTTCCGTATGATAATAAGTCGTTTAAAAAAAAAAAGTCCCTCCAAGTCCAAGGTAAAAAATTACTGGTATTACTATCCTTGGGACATTTGAATGGTTTGAAGCTAAATCTGAACTTGTTTTTACCAGGATCTATAGGCAAAGCTCGCTTTAGTAAAAGTATAAAGAACCAGTAAAATTATATTTTAATAGTATTTAAAATCTGTCATGGTTCTCTACAGTTAGTTTCATTTTCAAAGACTTTTAGTTTGTTTTTTAGAACAGTCACATTTTCTCCTTTGTCTCAGTATTCCGCCAATCATTAGTTTCTATGGAGACTGATTAATCTTCACAGCTGCTTATCATTTAGTTTATTATGTCTGTCTATTTAAGTTCCTCTGTTTGCATCTTTGTCAGGTATTGTTTGTGCATAGCACACTGGTTCATTTTGTTTGCCCATATTGAATAAATCATCTGTCATTGGGAAATAGCCTACTTATTTATCTAATTTGGGATGACGCAACAAATATAAGGTTGTAATGCAAGTAAACAAAAGAATATTTATTAGTGTTTTTTTTGTGTTTGTTTCTTTACAGCAGGTTACAATGTGTTTTGTTTATTGTTGAAATGGGAGGTTGTGTTCTGTTATGAAAATCAATTTCCTGCTCTCTTGCTCTTCTGAAACTTGATTAATTCTTAATCTTACTAAATTTGAACGAGCAGTTTAACTGTTAGAAACCAGTGGCCAATAATGCATCACATTAAAGTGCCCTTGTTATTACCTTTAACTTAACTTTAGTGTTGGAATGAGTTATCAGCAATTCCACTTCCTGTTTCATACCTACTTCATTATCGCCCCGTTTTACACACAAGGCTTTAACCTAGTCCCAGACTAAAATGCATGTTTGTGCTGGTTTAACTGAAAACAACTTGCACTGGCATACCTTCTTAGTGAATAAATATCTTCCCAGATAGCAGACTGACATTGAATCAACGTGGAAATATGACATCGAAACAACGTTGATCTGACATTGTTTTGCTCATCGAATTAACGTTGAACCAACGTCAGACGCGTCATTCTTTCAAAACTAACGGAAAATCAACTTGAAATCAACGCGTTGTTTCAACGTTATGAAAGCAAACCAATTTTCGATTTTCATTTAGCTTTGAAGAATATGCCGCGTCTGACGTTGGTTCAACGTTAATTCGATGATTAAGTAAGTACACCAGTAATGTCTACACCTCAAGTAATACACCAGTAATGTCTCTTTCAAAGGCATGTTTATAAAATATATTTAAATGTCCTGATTGAACTAAGGCTCATTGCTTAATTGAAGCCCTATCTGTGAAAGTATGTTGACACCCTTTTCTGATTAATGGTGTTCTAAATTGTTGAATGAATTGTTCTAAATTGTTAATTTCCAAGCAGGGACACGTTCCACACACAAAAAAAGCTATAAGCATGTATAAAGCATCTGCTGTGTTTATTATTATTATTATTATTATTATTATTATTATTATTATTATTATTAAGTATAAGTAGTATTCTCTGTCAAATGAAACAGCAATAAAATTGTGGCCCTATTATATTATAGTTTACTTTGTCAATACTGACGCCTAGTGGTCACCAGCCATGTTGGATTTTCGGAGCTCATGGTGCAGAGTCTAGAGGTAGGTGGATCCCCTCACGTCCATCCTTCTTGTTTTACTCTTGAAAAGGCACAATCTGTAAGTTTAAAATGTAAATCTATGCAGTAACATATAGTTCTTTGTATTTTGATAAGTTATGCATGTGTTTGAGACCTATTACCACGTGAGATTCTAAATGTAACTCGAGACGTGATTGTGATGCTAGATTCTTTTTTCATTGTAACATCGCTATGTTCTAAGTCATATGAAGGTGACTTATTATGCATCTTACATTTCAGTACATCTTAGATATTGTTTTGAGCCGTGACCATAACTTTGTAAGAGATAGTATTTCTTTAATATTAGTGTTAATTTGTCTTACAGTTTCACATATTTTCAGGTTTTCAGTTGTCAAGGCACCTTAATTAGCTATTTTAACAATATAGATAAAGCAGCTTTATAGTGATAATTGGACTTTAAAGTAACAGAGATTGTTTTGGCTTTACAGCAGGTCTAGAATAAAGATATTGTCCCGCTAAAGTTAGTTTTGATTGATTCACTTCTGTTGCAAAGATCATTAGCTATGGGCTCTATGCACGGCAGTATTTCCGGTGAAGCATTAGGGATGCTCGATAACTTCCGCCGATCGTAGAGTCCAATGCAATACCGAGAATTTATATTGAATTTTATACTCCATGGTTAAACTAAAGAAACGTTAGTCACAAAAACAGATAAAACAGACACCCCTTGTTGTGTTTATGCTTCTTTTTAAAAATATATTAAATAAATATAACTATAGTTATATTTATTTATATATAAAATTACATCTAAACGTATGTACGTTTCATTTCAAAGACTGGAGGACAGTAAATTTTGAAGACTCTGCCATAATCCTGTTTTCCTCGGTTTTCCTCCACTTTAATCTCCACAACCGGAAATGGACGAGCATCCTTGCGTCAAATGCGGAATTTATGCGTGCATATAGCAGCCCATTAACTTAACTAGCATAGCCATGTGAACCGGAACCATTCTGACAACGTTTTATCTGTACACAGGTAAAGTGAAGGAGGCCTTCACTGGGGAGAGACTACTACTTCAGGACTGCGTTGTCGTCGTGTCCAGGCACAGGTCAGTCATCAGATCCAGATACAGCTTGGTTTTGGCAGACTGTAAACCTCATGATAAACAAATACACTAATATTAGCGTAGACACCATCTTTCTTATGATGTAATGAGTACATCAGGATTCATGGGAAGTGTTCCTGGTTCCGGTTGACCTAATCTACGCAGCCTAACATACAGAAGTTTATAATGTGTTATGTGTATGCTAGGTCATTAGAGATTTGTTTTTAGTCTAGATTTGAACTGATAGAGTGTGTCTGCTTCCCGGGCAATGTTAGGAAGACAGTTCCAAACTTTTGGTGCTAAATTGGAAAAGGATCTACCGCCAGCAGTCGATTTTGAGATTCGGGGTATTATCAACTAGACAGAATTTTGAGATCGCAATAGACGTGACGGACTGTAATGCGTTAAAGGAGTAGTTCACTTTAAAAAAAAAACTTTTGCTTATAATTTACTCACCCCCATGTCATCCAAGATGTCCATGTTATTCTTTCTTCAGTCGAAAAGAAATTAAGGTTTTTGATGAAAACATTCTAGGATATTTCTCCATATAATCCACTTTACTGGTAACCAAACAGTTCAAGGTCCAAAAGACACTTTCAGTGCAAACTGGTCAAAGGGCTTTAAACGATTCCAGACAATGAATAAGGGTCTTATATCAAGCGAAAAGATCGCTAAAAAAAACAAAGTTCAAGACAAGTATTAAAGGCTGTAAAACTTGCTCTGCTCTGTGATGTGCGTTCATGACTCTCCTGTTCGAACTCGTTCATCAACATGAACAAATCTTTTTTTATATCATTTGGTTCATTCAACGAACGAAATGAATGAATTGACTCTGGAAAAGATTTCGTTCATTTTGAAGTCCCACAAATCGTTTTATTCTCCCGCAACGCATTACCACCCGTGCTCGACCATCAAGTCTAGTTGTAAATGTTAGTCCCGCGGGAGTCGACCAACCACCAGTCCTTGCTTGATTGCACTTTTATTTATATATTTTTTTATCAATAGGCTAAACTTTCATTACAAGTTGGTGAGTTGTCATTTTGTGATGAATAAACTCCTGAATAAAAATAAAAACAAGTTTGGTCTGATTTAAAAAAATAATATTTTAAATGGATTTGATTGGTTTGTCGATATTGAGCGCGGGAATGTTTATTTGTGTCCTAAGCATAGTAGCACTT